TCACCAAGATTCATGTTGACCCACACTCACACTCAAGATATTTTCAAAGTGAAAATTCTTTTGAAATATCAAATAAATGGCTTCGTGAAAATTTCAAAGATCTATGTGCACTCAATTATAAAAATGTGCAGTCTTCTCTGAAGCAGCTTCGTTTCTCTTCCTATAAAAACTTTAATTTTAAATAAACCTTACCAAAATACCCGAATTCGACGGCATTATCATAAGGTGACTGCTTTTCTCGGTGTTTCTGACCAACTGTTCATTTAAAACCGTTGACGATTCCGGCTACGGTTGCTGCTATCTTTTTTAAAGTCATTTTTCAAAAAAAGATTTGATTTTTATTTATTTTAGAAGATGATTGGCGTAAAAATTTTCGCCTTTTCTGAACTTTCAGTTGGATTAGATTTTGCCCGATCAGTTACCGTTTTGAAGAATATTCACTCTACCACATCTATCCTCATCGTACAAATAGAAACCGTCTAATGGTATGATGAAACAAGATCAATCTCAAGATTAAATTTTTTAGTCGATCACACTCAATTAGAAAGATAATAATCAATTATTGCTCAAATTAGATCTTTACGTCTTTTGATAGAAGATTCTTAAGCGATAAATTTTGCCAATTTATTACGACTAAAGGCAAATATTTACTCGAAGTGTCATGTTCCAATCAGCGAGATTTCACGCATCCTAAGCAATTCTGAAGATGAAGAAGTAGCCGCCCCGTGAAAGAATCTAACATATGAAGCATTTTGAGTGATGGTTTCACTAAATGTCTTTTGGCAGAGATCGAACCTAATGGAAAAGTGATTAAAAATTGACCTAGACTGGTACACTGTTGAACAAGTGATTATTTTGCACGAAAAATACATCTTAAAAAGTGAACAGTGGAATATGAAACTAAAATATTAGTACGATTTCAAGAATCAGTCCAAGTTTCACTTTTAGGAAAGGATACGGATACGAGTGGGTGCTAAATTTAGATTGAGATGCAGTTGCCATGGAAATTGACATTTGTCAAGGTCTACGAGTAGCTCGAGTGTACGATTCGTTCGTTCGTTTGTCAATCGAATTAGTCGTTGATCACAATCGATCACAAGATTGATTGTATCATTTTCAACAGCATCGTGACCTTGTCCACCGACGTTTTGTCCATTGCGATAGACGAAATGATCACCATTATACCAACCATAACATGACGATGAACTATAGGAATGTTCTTGCAAAGGTGTCGATTTCGAGATAATGCCAAATAAGCTCCAGCCGTTCAATTTTTCGATCTTGAAACATAATGTACGATGCCCGGTCGTATACTCACCTTTTCCACGTACTTCTGTGTAATTTTCGGGACCATCTTGCACGACAACAACTTTGCCACTATCTTCAAATATCGCTTTACCTGACGTACGCTCAAATAGCTCATATGTGTCGAAAACATCAACATGAATCTTGGTGATCAGCGGTACACAAGCTTCTCGAACAGCAACCTTGGCTGGATTGATAATTTCTTCCTTTAATTGATTGAGTTTATCCATCCATTCACGAAGATCAGTCTCAACAAAATCAATATTTTGGCGACCTTGATGCAACTCATTTGTCAATTTATCCAATTTGAGCTTTTTATGAGCCAAATGACCAGTTGTGTGCTGAACTAATTCGTTCCTAGTTTCCTCTGCTACTCTTTTGATTCTCGCAATCGACTCATGTTCCCATATGTCAATTTTTTTCATCAATTCATCTTGCAAAACTTTCATATTTTGCCGCGGTTCAGTCGATTGCTGAGTCAGGATTTCTTGAACAAGATCACGAGTCTCTTCTACTTGATCCAGTTGCTTGATAACTTCTTGACGATGATTTGTTGTGTGTTGAAAACAGTAATTATTCGAACATCCATCGCATTTAAAAACACCTCTTTCTTTGTTACATATCACGCAAAGAGGTTTGTTAAAGATCGTCGCCATTGAGTGATGGTGAGAAAGATGAAAGAAAAAAGAAAAACAACAAGCAATGTTCGACGCTTGCTTTTTCGTTCTTGTCAAAGTCACGTTTAGATTGATGACAGCGTGTTTTTATTGCAAGTAGAAAGCTATTTACAGAAAAAGAAACACGTGGTTACATAGGAGTCACACAACGTAGTCAAAACAACAACAACAAAAAAAAACAAATCGCAAAGTAATAATATCTGACAAAAAAAATATTCATATACATGTTGAGTATGTACTCGTATTTTACGGTAAGAATCGATCACGTTGATCATGCGCACTCATTTTCTTCGTCTTCTTCTTGCCAATGATTGGGTCGATTCTAGGTAACTAATCAAAGACCTTATAGAATGCAATGAGGATGATATACACTAACCACATAGAGAGAATAGTATAAGATATCAAAGCCAATAGCATAGCCTTGAGGATTGATTAACAAAGCTTATGAAAACTCGAGTACACAATTATGATGTCGACAAAGAAGTAATAACTAGCTTGTAAAAGATACATAGATGTAATGCCAAACAGAAAATGGATCGTATAATAAAAAATAGATGGTGCAAAGAGATCTACTAGTTTGATTAGATGACAAAACATCGAAAACAAAACGTCGAAAAAGATAAAATTTTGAAGCACAAAAAACTCGAAGAAAAAAGTATCGAAAAATTTCTAGTCTATACTAAAGGAGAAATATGACTTATACAAATAGCCTGTTGGTTCTCTTATATTACTGTTGAAGAATTTCTCCAAGCGCGTATATATGTAGTTATTTTTCTTCCTGTTGTCAGAGTCTCGACTACTGTTTCTATTTTCGCTCGTCGAATTTTTCTTCCTATTACCCGTTCATACATATTTCGTTCTAACGACATATCTAACCATTATATCGTTCATCATGATTAAGGAGCATTTTATTCTTCTTTTCATGCCAGTAAGTATTTCTTTGGTCACGAGCAATAAGGGAAAATCTGTTTTGGTGCATGATGGTTACATATATAAGATAAATAAAGCCACTGTAAAAGTAAAGTATCCGACTTGCCAAGAGCTTATGTGCGGTACTCGTGCTTATACGGATTCGAATAATCAATATATTAAAAGTCAAGGTAATCATAATAGTCATTTACCATTATCAGTGGAGGTTGTATAGCTAAGATTCAAAACTATAGTTTAAAAACGAATAATAGAAGAATCAACTTCGATCAACATAATATACGATCAAAAATTTACTTGTGCTAGTTTTCTTTGTCAGGTCTAACAATTGGTTTATCATCACAAGAAGAGAGTATGTTACACCTTCCTATGATTTTAACTGTTATTTTAACTTTTTTCCAGAATCATCTCGTATCGAGCTCGTCGTCAAACAACACTTATCTTAAGGTCTGGGTGACTGTGGGTCTTCGCTTCACTTACATCCATACAATCACACTCACATCTACATTCAAATGTCATTATTCATATGTAGTTGTGTACAACAAAATCCAGATGACGTAAGAGTTGCATTTGTCTTACTTCAACATACACTCAGTGTCGATGTGATCAACACATTTACACCATCGTCATATGAACTCTATTTATGTCAGCAGGCCACTGATAAGGCACCATTTAGAATGCCGTCAACTATGAAATAATGGATGAGCTTGACGAAATGGCTGACTGCAGAAGCAGGTAAGATTTCTGATAGAAAATGTTTTTCAAATACAGTGAATATACAACAATAAAATGATATAGGTATGCAGAACAACAAAATAGCTTCCCTTCGTACTCTGAATCTACTTCTGTTTCTTTCATTTAAATGAATAATATTGTAAGTATCTTAGCGTTAAATCTAATATTGTTCTAAATTGTCATGCTTGTAAATTTTTACGATTGGTTTAATCGAAGAAAAAGGTAATTATATGTTTCATAAAAGAGTTGTTATATCTAAAGAGACAATAATTTTATGAAATAACATTTTTAGCCATTTTCTATTTTCCAGAACTAAGTGAAGATGACTTAACTTAGCCGACATCGGTATGAATAATTCACGACTGTTGATCAAAAGATGGTAATCTTTGTGTAAAATTTAAGTCACTGACAAAAATTGTAAATCTGGCACGAGTACATATCAATCTTTCGTCTAAAAGCGAAGAAAAACATAAGTGGTAAATTGGTTTAGTTGAAGTTGATTGTCTTACTAGTTTGGTTGAGCACGATCAAGAGCAAATAAAATGGTGCAATCAGGCTTTAGGCAATATATTAAGAAATGTTGCTACCGTTATCTTGTTAAAAATTTTTTTTCTGTATAAACGTATTGTGTAGAGACTTATTTTATTTGTTTGATTGAAATAATGGAGTAAATATAATTTAGGAGCCGAGATAGAGAGATAGAGCCTAATATCTAATAGAGGAAATTATTGGAGTCCATTGCATTTTTCTCATTCATATTTGAAGAATATACATATTCAGTGTAATTGATAGTTTTCCCTTTTTTTCAGGGATATAAATGATATTTCGAAATGCGTTTAGATCAAATAAATTCCTTATATAATTTTAGAGTTTTGTTTATTTATTTTCTTGTTTGATAATATTAATATAGTGAATGTTCATTCAATTTTTTAGAAGATTTTTCGACAATGGTTCATGATGACGCATCCAATGTTTCACCAAAATACATATTTTAGGCGTTGAAAACTTTGTGATAAATAATTTCATCTCTTCATACATTCTAGTAATAATTTCTTAAGAACTGTCGAGCAACTAACGGATTATCATCGATAACAGTTTTTATTATCAGATGATATTTATTATAATTTAAAATAATTTCATTATTATAATATTCACTTTTCCATGGTCAATGTGGATGTCAGTGTGAAGAGAGAAATGCTCACATTCGCATTCTAAGACGCTATTTGTCTGTAATTAACATTTAGTAAATTTAATGAATATTTTTAAAACCATTGTCTTGTTTCTGTTGTACTAACATGTGCAAGGCTAGAACAAAAGAATTCGGCAAAAAATAAAACAAAGAGATTGGTAAAAAAAAGAAAATTCTTACGATTGTGAACAACAGCAAAATTGAAATTTGTCAAAAAATGCATAAATCAGTATAAAATAATGTTTTATTTAATTCAAACTACTCTATTCAAGCTTTTTAGTTAAAAATAATCGCTGACTTGGTTCTTTTTCATTAAAAACAACAATCTTCAAGATTGTTAATTCTACTTTATAAATAAAAGCTTTGCTTAAAATCTGTGTCAGCTCACCAAATATGCATACCCTCAAAATAACATATATGGCAACAAAGTATGTCCAATTTTATTTCTTATAATTGTTTTTAATCTAGCGTCACATACGTAAGTGTAGGGTGTCGCCTTCTCCACAATGACACCAACCCACGCCCACACCCTCAGAGAAAGTTTTATTTTTATTGAACAATAATATGCAATAATGAGAAAAAAAATCATAGTTCCAAATAATAAACAAGAACAATTTAAATAGCTTAATTTGTTTTATTGTTTTATACTGTGTCTGTTGTTCAATGAATGGATCCATTATCCGTTGATAATATTCAAATGAGAATTCTTCCAATTGATATTCCATATTATGGATGAGTTTTTTTTTCTTATTTAGAATATTAATAATGGAGTGCCAGCTGCCTCTCCCTGTCAAACTATTACTCAAGAAGATCTGATTAAAAAACTACAAAAAGTTGACGCATTAAGAGCTGATATTCATAAATTAACAAAAGAATTGAAGTATAGGGATCAAATCATTACGAAGCTCAAGAAAAAACTGCAATTAATTAAAGACGAATTCAATTTATTGAAACTGAAGTTTAAAATAGAATGCAACTTTCATCATTTATTTAGATGTAAACATATCTTTATTTTTGGATGAAGAAAATAATATTAATATTGATGTTGCACAATATTTAAATCATATCTTATATATTGTTTGTTCAAACATGTATTAATGTTTTTCTTTTTGCGAATAAATGAATTGTTCATTTCGTATGCGTTGAATAGATCAACAATTTTAGTATATGAAAATCTATGTTCGACTATTTCTCGGATCAGATTTCCTATTTTTGGGATGTGACCGTGAAATTCTACATCCACAAATGTGTTTTCTCCAATACATAGGAATGAAAAGTTTTCGATCGATTCTGGAGGACGTGGTGGTGGTGGGGGAGGAGGGGGACGAAAAGATGTCGGGTCGAAAAATTCGTTTTGACGAATTTCCCAAAACTGGTCGTACAAAGTATTCTCCGTGGCTGACTTACTACTGTCATTACCAATTGAACAAAAGAGGATGAGGATGTGGGGTAACGATTGTAGCTCTTTTCTCAATCTACCCCCTAATAAACAACCATACATACATCCACACCGACACATCAATACTCATCGTGTAATTCAAAAATACATTCCCTATCAGAAGCATGAGGACTGAATGATGGATCATTATGTTTTGTTTTGAATGTTGTTAGAAATTCATGTATCACGATGATGAGCTGAGATTTGAAAGCAAGAAAAAAGCTCGCGAACAAGGATTGAAAGAGAAGGATCGGATGGCAAAAGTTGAACAAAGTTAAACTAATGACGAAAACAGATCGATAGGAATGAGAATCCGAAGAAGAAAAAAATGAATTCTCTCTTTTTTTTTACGTAGATATAATTTTTGGCGGAACCTATTTTTCATTGTTCCATTGCATTGTGCACAACAACACTAAATATTAACAGTCAATCAAACGTTTGATCATGACACAAGAAGACATTGAAACTTCAAATGAGACTGAT